TACGTGAGGTTGGAAGGAAATTTCTGCATTTTTGAAACAAGCTGAGATTCTCAAGTTAACTGACTTGTCTAAAACCACATCTGCTTAACAATAAAAGTAGAAGCAAATCCTCTTCCTTGCCCCAGTTCACTGGAAGTCTTAGCAACCCTGTGGTTTTCATTGCCGTACAAAAACTCCCTACTATGTTTCCTCCTTTAGAGAACACTTATGCTGGTAACAGACACTGAACATGCAAGGCCAAGCTAGTGTTAAGAACTTTAGGCTAAAAACCTTTACGGTGGGACAATTTGGAATCAGCAGAATGCAACAGAAAATATCATTAATAACTGAAGGAACAGGACTACAATACCTTGGAAACAAGAACAAAAAGAATCAGTGTTTTAGTGGAGGAATACAACAGGTTTCTGATTTAGATTTATACAGATGCTAGAGAAAGAGACCTTTTCCACCTACACTGTTGCATAAGAAAAGCAAATATTGATAGTCAAGTAGTCCCACATACATAAATCTGTTAGCAACACACACTGTCAAGAGGACTTAAAATCTGTTACGTAGCATTTGTTTATTTTTTAGCCCTTTTGAAAAAAAATGCTGTTGCTCATATACAACAATTCTATATACCAGTGAACCTCATGCAGTAAAGATGAGGCACAGGGAGGTGGGCGGGATGGCTGCAGGGGAAAGCTCTGGGCTACCACCTGTGGTTATGTAATCACAGCAGACTGCATCACCCTCATAGTTTAGGATTGTCTTTAGCAAAAATAGAAATAAAGATTATGAGATTATACACAGAAAGAAACAACAGTGCCTGAAATGTAATAAATATCCAATAAAGTAAATATGGTTTTGTGGCCATAATTAAAGCCATTAATATTAGTAACATTATGATTAGTTGCATGTATATTGAAACTTATGAATTATACATGCTGCAAGCTCCAGAGACACTCTTCTACTTATGACTTTTATTGTAGAATGTTCCTAGTTTTTTCAATTTCAAAACAAACTTCCAATTGATTTCAATTCAATAACTATTTGTAATATAGAATACACTGGGCTGTTTCACGGTGTTTCTAAAGTACAACAAAGATTCCACTGTTCATTAATATTCTAGGAAAAGGATATCACTATCTATTCTGTAAAATTTTAAGTTAAAGAAGTGAAATCTTTTCCCTTTATTGGTTTAAAGCTTTTGTTGTCCCTTTAACTGACACTTGAAAAACAATCCAGTATTGTAAACACACATTTAATTTCATTTTAAATTTATTTCTTACAGAAAACCCCAAAATCCCATACCATAACCTCGGTATAATCAAGTATACAGTTTCAATGGTGATTTAATACAGAGATTTTCAACTAGAAATTCATCTGAAGTAATAGTACATCCTGTATATTTTACTCAGTGAAATTTAGGGCCATTGTTTTTTTGTTTACCTAAATCAACAAATGAAACAAACTAGTTTCTATCCCTTAATTATGTTTTTTATACAAGTAAAGACTATCATCTTTTCTTTTTTCCCACTTTCTTTCTTTCTTTTCTTTAAAACAAAATTCCAGGCCTTCCAAATTTGTTTCTGTAGCTCATTGTTGTAAGATCTTTTTTATCATTTCTATTGTCCTACACCAAGTGCTTGGCAATTTGTCTCTTTTCTGAAATGTGGCATTCTGCTAAACTTACTCTGCAAACTGTAGCCTAACAAGACCTAAATGTAGCTCAATCTGCTTTTATGCATGATATCACCATTACAATTCACCACACTGTAGCATTTGAATATTTTAACAGGAATCAGAATGTCAACTCATCCTATTTATCATCCACGGTTAACTCTTGAATTTTTCTCTGTTGCTACCATCTGTAGCTATTCAATGCACTACACAATTCCATTATCATTCTTTCTACTAACTTATGCATCTGTTCTGTATTTCTCATTCTAATGTGTCTGATCTACCTGTTGCCCCAATATATCAAGATTATGCTTCACAGTAGCTCTCAGCACCCAAAGATTTGCAGTCCCTACTTCCATGACACATTGTCCTGCAGACTTTTTTTTTTTTTTTTTTTTTTTTTTTTTTTTTTTTTTTGGTACCAGGGATCAAACTCATGACCTCACACTTGCCAGGCAGGCACTTTGGCCACTGAGCTAAATCCCCGCCTATGTCCTGCAGATTTATTAGCATTAGCATATATGTTCCAAAACATTTTATAAATTTAGTACTATACTACTCCTAATGTTCTCTTTTTCAATTACTTTTGCAAATCATTATTTTAAGGTTCAAGTAAAACAGACAAAAACAAATGCAAGGTCAGTGAAGCAAGCAAAACCAAAACCAAACAAACAAAAACCTTTTAAAAAATGACTAGACCTGTTCCTACAAGCACATTTAAAAAGAAATCTTATTCTTCTCTTCATTGGCTTAATTTAAAAACATTGAATTCAGCATCAACTACATGATGCCATTGTCCTATTATTCATATGTCATCCACAAAATAAAGATTAAATCCCAACACATAGGTATCTTGGTGAGTATCATATGCCCCTGCTACAGGAACACACTCGTTACATAGGGAATGTTAGATGGTTGGCTAAGCAAGTCTTAGAAAACACAGTTTGTTTTATTTAGCATGTTTGTGTCTCCATTTACCAAAGAAACTAAGCAGATAATATAAAAATAATGAAGGAATAATGAAACAACCTTCAAGTGTTTAGCCTTAATTTACTTATTTTATCATGAATAAATGGCAGAGCCATCGAAATCAAAATGACCTGATATGTTATATATGAATTAGTATTTATAAAGAAATTATGGATGTGGTAATTATTAAAGTTTATAATTTAAAAAATCATAACATTTGTGTGTGTATGGTGCATGCTTGTAATCATAGCATTCTGGGATGCTTAAGCAAAAAGAACCCAAATTCCAGTCCAATTAAAAAGACCCTGTCTCAAAATAACAAATAAAAGGTTAGGATTGCAGTTCAGTGCAAAGGGTCTGGGTTTCATCTGAGGTACCACCAGAATCCTCACTGTATTTATCAAATTAACAGTGTGCTTTCTGCTTGGAATCCCCATCCAGCCTCCTTGCATTACCTTACACAGTCACTCCTGCCTCTAGTTCAGCCTCTTTGATCTAAAAATGTTCTGTGTATCCTCCATGAATTAAAATGAGATTCCTCTAGGAGAGAATCCCTTCCCTTCGTTGTGTTCACTATCTTGTGTCTTCCTTCAAAATAAAAGTCTTTGTTTATAAAACTGTACCTTCTATTTGCAGTTACCTTTTCTTTTACCTTTTAGCTTGCAGCTAATATTGAGAGTTACTCAAGAAATCTTGTTAAATAGCTGAACTATTTTAAAAATAGCATATATTGAAGAATTATATTTTTAAGACATAGGCCTGATACTAGGCTTGAATGTTCTTTAGAGAAACTATGATAATACATTGATATAAATTTAATTTTAACAAAATGATAGGAAAATGTGTCTACCTGTGTAAATTCATTAGAGTTAAAAACAGTTAAGAAAGGGCAATGTTTATAAAAAATATAATAAAATGATGGTATAGAACATCTTTATTCTCCTACAAATACATACATTTTAATAAAATTTTAGAATACTGATTTTACATAAAACATTTCAAGGTGCATTTATATGTGGCAGAATTAAAGGAAATGGTAAAAAGAAAAAATAAAACATGCTATGATATATCCAGGTCAACTGCAGTACTATTGAGAAGACTTAGCAAAAAGGAAAATCATCAATGAAAAATTTTAAAACGAAAATATTTAATTCTAAACGATTTATGGCAGATTTAATTACTGTCTTCTAATACATGATGGAACAACTGACAGATGATAATGATAAAGTTTCCCTTCTTAGCTTTGTAGAAGATAAGAAACAACTAACAGGGCAAGTTGGAAAGTGTCACAGAAGGTGAGATAATAGGACAAATTACTAAATAATGCAGTGAGAGATTTCCCTCAGAGGCCTTTAAAATAGAATAGCTACTCTTTGATTTGTAGTCGGTAAAATGTTAAATTCAAATCCAAAGAACCCCTAACAAGACAAATACCGATTCATTGCTTAATTCTTACTGCCTGTGGTTCTCCATGCTTATCCAGAACAAGTCTCTTTCTTGTCCATGGGGTCACTGCCACCACCAACCTCAAGGATCAGACCTTTGTGGCATATAAAAGGGCATCATCTCTCCAGCTTGCCTGCTAGCTCCTCTTCCTTCCCCTCTGACTCTAGCTCATTAAAGAGGCCAGAAACTGGAAAGGAATATCAGCTGCCCAAAGTATACAAAGAAACGGAACATTAAAAATCCTTGGAAATACAAAGCATGTTAAGATAATTTAAAACACTAAAGTTAGAAAACCAATGACCTTTACTTTTTGTTCTTAATGTTTAGTATTCCTTTCATTAACATGCGACATTTAGTTACAAATTTTTCTCGAGTAGTTCCATTAAATATATTTTACCTCTTATTTGTATGAAAATTATGTACTATAAAAATTCTAAGATAAGGTATAAGTTTAAGGTCATCGTCAAGGGTCACGGAAAGAGCAAAGATCTCTTTTCATAACCTTTGCCTTTTAGTTTTTAATATTAACATTCCTTTTCCTACTTGTTTATAACATAGGATGGTGTTTTATGAATAAATACCACAACCTTTTTGAAGAACCTCACATAATTTGAACTGAATTTAATTATTTCATTGTTATGAGATGGCAAAGCTACCAGACTTGAATTAAGGTGATGTCTTACCTATGTGGATAATGAGGGCCTGGACTTGAAAAGTTATTTTAAAATTTGAGGAAACATCCAGAGATAAGTGTATAGAGGTTTTCATGTTGCTCCCTTATTATCTGTGAACCTGAAACAAAGTTTTGTTGTCTATCCTGTTGCTCTTTTTTTTTCAATTGAAACATGAAATGCATTATATCCACCAACCTGCGAAAGCAAAATGAAATAAATAACAGAAACGCAGTCTTCATTTCAGCTTACCTGTTCCTGTTGCTGGAAATCCAATCTGAAATAAGTGTGGACGCCTGTTGGTGACAATGCTTGTTGCCAAAACTGCAGGCCAGCATTATCACTTCTCTGCGTAGCTCTCTAGACAGCACAAGAGAAATTAAAGAGCACTGTAAATATCTGGAGAGAAAGGGTCATTCATTACATAAATACTAGATAAGTAAAGTATTACACAAAATAATTGTTAGATATGAAATTTCTATGTTACAGATTAAAAGAATTAATTAGACAGGTTGGAAGTTAAGCATTATAAATATTCCTGGGAGAGAGCATTCTACTGAGGGGCATGTGCTCTGATCTCAACATCACAATAAAGGCAGATCTTAAATTAAAACAGAGCAAGGAAATGCCTTTGTTCTTACAATCAAGCAGTAGAAACTGTGCCACCCAGCAGCAGTCCTCCCAAGAAAGTGAAATACAAAATGCAGAATGAAAGAAAGACAGTTTCATGCTGCTAGCATCACAATGGTACTAGAAGTATGTTATTGTACAACTCTAGGTGAAGAGAAGGGAATAAGAAAATAAAATAGTACTCATGTTGGTAGGAAGCTTGAACAAGAGATCCATTAAAATTATTTTTTGGCCATCCAAGCTTGATGTATGTTGTTGCAACTTGTTTTAATATATATTCCTAAACGAGGAATATAGATAGAATAAAAATGTCAGTTTCAAATTTCTCCATTCTGATCATTAAATTCTGTAATATAATAAATATTTTAAATATGTCTATTTTTAAAAATAAGTAAAATTATAGGTACAGTAATGTTCTAGTTTTATTCAACTTAGTATTTCAAATATAGAAAATAAGGATAAAATACTACTGGTAAGGAAAAATGTACTTTTTTCCCCTATCGAATGACTAAGTAATTTGCACTATTAAATATTTTAGATGACAATTTCTGCAACAAAATGAGGAAAATTAGGAGTATTGACAATGACACTAGGCATACATTTGTAGAAATGTGTGCAGGTACCCTTTATGAAAATGAATGGCTAATACTTATGCATTTCATGTCAATACAGTATATTTAATGCAAAACTGTTATGTTGGCCCAGCCAAGAGCCTAGAGCTATTGAAGATGAGGTACACGGAACACTTCTGTGTAATGATATGTTATTATGAAGTCAACAATCTATTCAACCAATGATATATTTTAAACTCAATACAAATGTAAGATATGCTCTCCTTCACTTTAATGTGGGCTTTGAATTTGTCAAAGGAATGAAAGCACTGAAATTACAGTAAAAAGCAATTCATAATACACTAAAAATGAGGTATCTGAGATGATGCATTTTTCTAAAGTACAAATAGACAGAAAATGCATTTTACTTTTCTAGAACTTTCATATTACGTTATTTCTGTGTTGGGAGGGAAGAGATGTGTAATAAAATTTTCTATAGCAGCTAAAACTTATAATTGCAATGACCTATTTCTTTGTATGTCTGCTGGAAGAGTTTAGACAAAACTAAAAATGTACAAGCAAGTCAGGGTATTTTCCATAACATTTTTTTTGAAAATAGTTACTGTTCTAGAGGTTTCAAACAAGAAAAAGGGAAGCAGCTGTGATGCCAAAGGCTCTAATCAGATTTCATATCATGATAATCCAATTTTGAGGAATTCCAAATGTTTGTAGGTTAATTAGCAGAGTCAGTATGTCATAAAGCACAGAGTGATTTTATAAAACAGAAATCAGAATCCAAAAACGAAAGAAAAATAGTGCACAAAATTAGTAGAAAGAACAGTGATAAGAAATGTAATAATCAAAAGCTCATTAGTAGTTCTTAATCCTAACATTATTCAAAAGGGTTATTAAATCAGATTAGGTGGTATCAACAATGCACTTGTGGTTTACCAGGTTTTGAGTTTAGACAATCTGGTCAGGTAAAATTTGGGATGTTTGTCATGTCTTTATGTCTTTTCGGATTATCTGTTGTTTGCTTTCCTCTATCCCCTTGGACCCAATTATGAATGGGCTTTTGCCTCAGTGTTGATCTTATCCTTGTTAATTAAGGAAGTGAATTGGATTCACCATGCCGTTTTGGGTAGAAATAATGACCAAGAATCTTTATTGAAACTGTCTATTTTTTGTTAAGATCTTTGGGATCCCTGTAACCAAGTTAAGTCCTTTGTGAACACAGAGCCCTTTAACTCTTGGAAAGTAAGCTTGAACCTTATGGATTTTCCATGTATTTTTCTTCTTAAATTCTGAAGCATTTAAGCTTACTTGACACTTTTAGACTAGAACAAAAAGTAACTTGTATTAAATTTCTTTAAATAGTCGTCATTGGTGTTACATAGAAAATTAAGACAAAAATGATAAAGTAAACTAACAGAAATGGCTAAAATAACTCAGGGTTAGTTGCATATATTAGAAAATGGGAAAACGGCTTATCATCTGAAAATGAAAAAACAGAAAATACGCATTTTTACATTGAAGACATTGTAGTTTTCCATGCGGTCCAGTAATTTATCTAGAGGATAAAGAGCTCGGCTGGCAGCATGCCAAGGAAGAAAATCTTTCTCCTCAGACAGGTATCTGATCATCTCCAAGGGGATATTCTGAGGCAAATAGCCAGCTCTGCATAGTCACAAGAAAGTTATTGTTAAATAGATGCAGAAAAGCTACACGATGATGCAAAAATGAAGATTTTATTCATGCAAATAAAAGGCAGAAAACAAGATTCATCTCAGTATAAAGAAAGCATACTCAGAGCTATAAAAATAAAATTACCCACTTTTTAAATATAGTACCACTTCAGATGCCAATGGCCCTCATTATATTCAGCTAGAGAGCTAAAGATTTGTATGAATACAAAAACACCAGAATGCATATTTATCTAAAAAAGGAAAGAGTTATGGAACTTTAACAAAACCCTAGGTCAGTGATGGCAAAACTTTTAGACAACTAGTGCCCAAACTGCAACACAAATAGCACAGTGCCAGTGCTGAGATTGAACCTGAGTGCCCCGCTCCTGGGACAGTGCGGGGGTCACTTGGCTGGCTTGAAACAATGAAAGCTCTGTGTGGCCACCATGCCACATGTGCTACAAGTTTGCCACCATTGCCCTATGTATTCTATGTATTTTCCTTCACAGAAATTCTTCAGATGTAACAAGCAATTGGAAATAATTTATTATACAATGTAACTTCATTTAATACATTTCCTCTTACTTTTTATGTAGTCCTGTGGAATAGTATTTCATCGTTTTCAGCAAGATGATCACACGGTCACTTTACAACGCTGAGTATGTACGTTAGATAACAACATAACCCTTTTTTCAAATCCATTTTAAAAACTTTCTCAAAGCTTACAAAAATCAGATTTAGGTTTTAATAAAGTCCAACTAAAAAGGCTAAAATATCACTCTTCTCCTTTTACTATAGATGTTGTGTCAACTGTGAAATAATACCAGATTCTTTAGAAAATAATAAAATGTAGTTTCTAAAAATTATCTGAATACATGTTAGTATTTTAAGAGGTCATATCTCAAAAAAAAAAAAGCCAAAAATATGTGTATATCTCTATTCTCCAATACATTTCATATGACATTCTTACAAAAATAAAAGATGATCTTAGCCTTAGTGTCTCTGCCTCATACACTAACATTAAATATTTTGGTGGATTATTTGACCTTAATTATTGCTACAGTCCAAATGTTGGCATCTTTTCAAAAATTATGCTTTAGAAACTAATAATTAATGGGATTAAGAGGCAGAGGCCTCTGGGAAGTGATTAAACCATGAGGGCTGCAATCTCATGAGTGAGATAGTGCCTTGTAAAGTAGGCTCAGGTCAGTTCCTCTGCCCTTTTCATTCAGTGCCATGAGGGGACACAATTAGGAGTCCAGCAAGTCCTGACCAGACAACCAATCTACAGGAGCCTTGATCTTGCAGTCCCCAGCCTCTGGAATTGTGAGTAAAAATGTTCTATTATTTATAAATTACTTAATCTAAGGCATTTTATCATAGAAACTGACAAAGAGAGACCATATTAAATAAGTGCAGACTTTCAACTACCCTGATTATCAATACATAGAATTAAAAGTTCAAGAGAATCAGATGACAAAATCTGAAACATTGGAAGCTTTTTTATCTTCTCTTCCCACATGCCATGGAGCTACACGATCTTATAATTAAAGATTTCTTTAGAATCCATTATTTTGTTGAAGTAACAAAAGTAATGTATTTTGTGAAAAGAACCTTAGTAAGTAACTAACTTGTTACAGATCTTAAGTAAGTGTCGAAAATCTGAGAAGTTTTTATCTATTTTCACATAGACTTAGATATGACAGCCTTGTATCAATCACAATTTACTGCATTTTACATCAACTCTGTAAATGGGTGAACATTATTTAATGACATGCTTTGTGAGCAACATGACTGCCTATAAAAAGTCATAACAAATAATGTTATGAAAAGAGGTTTGGGCTTGAGAAAGAGCCTGTATCTGACTCTCTGCACACTCCCTGCACTGCTAGGGAAATATTTCATCTCTCCAGCCCTCCCATTTCTTCTCTATAAAATGACAAGGTTTTACAGTCATACTTTTAAGGTAATTCTTTTTAGTGCCACAAATGATATATATATATATATATATATATATATATATATATATATATATACATATATATATATATACAATTTAAAGCTGATGAGCAGTTTTTATATCATGGGCATAAATTATTTTTTAAAAAACTTGAGAATATGCATCATAATATAGTTTTCATTCTTTAATTGTTTAATATATGCAAGCTAGGTGGCAGGGCTTACATGTAGGTTTTATAAGATACTTGGCATTGTGTAAAGAGGAATGTAGAAGCAAAGTAAGCATGAGACATGCTCCAAATAATGCTAAAGCATGTAAAATACTCATTAAGTAGAGAAACAGAGCAAGGTCTGTTGTGAGTTCTTATAGTAGAAATTGGTAACTGTTCACCAAATTCTATGCTTTCCACATCCTAAAATAGATTATAAATACCAATAGAACTGGAGGTGAAATAAGGTCGGGTAATTAACACATAGCCATTAAAATATGAATATCTCACTGCCAGGGTTGACAAAGACATCTCCTATGAGCTGCTCTACATTCTTTTTTCCTAAAGGATCTTCTGGGTATCCTTAGAAGTCTAGAACTGAATATATAAGAAATTTACCTGGGTCCCTATGTGACTGGACAGCCAAGTCTATTCCAAGCTCTGTTCCATCCATGCAGAGCAGAAAATAATTTCCATTGTATTTGGCCAAAAAACATGTTTGGGTCTATGTCCTAAAGCACTTAACCTTTTCTGATGCAGTTTTTTAATAGAATAAGAAACATATACACAAATTGCCCTAATTTTGCTCTATTATCAATACTTGTAAGTAATTACTCACTACATAATTCAATATACTTGCATTTAAGCCCACTGGATATATGTAGCTACACTTAATTGGACAAAAGGATGATCAGCTACATTACGAAGTTAAGAATCGTGGCAATAATGTTAGAGAGCAACTTACCTAGCTTAGATGTGTTTGTGTAATTGGCTGGTAATGAAATCTGTGATTACTACAACTGATAATGCAATCAATATAGGGCATGTGTGGATTCCACTGAATGGAACACTATATTAATTTAATCAGTCAGATAGGAAACTCATTTGGGGTCTTAGTGCTGAAATGTACTTTCCTTAAGTTTGTATCATCACAGGGAAGTGTTGCTAATAATGTGAAACAAAGAGAAAAATTTAAAGTGTATTCCACATATAATTGTGACTTATTGATATTGTAGGAAAAGGTTGTATATGTGATCAGTATTCTTCATTATTGTGAATGAGTTGGGCATATGAAATCATTTAGAAATTGAAGAACAGACAATGAGAAAGAGAAGCAAATGAAGACTGTTAATGATAGATCCTCTTTCTTCCTTTTCCTCTTCCTTATCCAATTCAATGGAGCTTCCACTGAAATATATTTTAGGCACACATGAAAGTATTTTTAGAAGATTAATGTCAGACTATATTAGGTGATGCTGAAATGCTCTGATCTTAGCTGGATTTGTTTGCATCTAAGATCCAAGACTGATTTTTAAAAGTTATTCTGAATTCCTGTGAAAGTTAACTTTTTAATCTACTGTTATCAGTCTTATTCACAAATAAATCATTTTACTGTGAATTTTCTTTTAAGGGAAACTATTCTTAGATGCATAAAGGTTAGGCATAGAAAGTAAAATATTCAGACTCTTCAAACAACCACAAACCAGTATTCATTAGTTAAATATTCATTTTAATCCAATAAATAGTCTGCTACATATTTGACAATGTATGCAGAAGACACTATGCCTGTTCCTTTGGCATAGATTTTTCAAACATTTGCTGGAATGCTTAATTTAAAATTTTACTAGATTTTATCTGCTATTCTTTATTGTATACTGTTTTAAAAGGCCTTTATATACACTCTGTAGGAAAAACAAGATTACTAATAGTTCTCAAAATATTATAGAACAATAAAGGGAGAAACATGGGGGAAGTAACTTTGTTAAACACTGGTACATTTGGTCAGTTTCTACACAAATAAAAAAAATGATACTCATACCCATGTTTATAACTACAATCCATTATAATGTACCCATTATCAGGGGAGTGGACAAAGACAATGTGGTGTTTATACACAATGGAATATTACCGTGCCAAAAGAAAGATAAACTTGAGTCATTTGTAGGAAAATAGATGCATATAAAACCATAATATTAAGAGAAATAAACATATGCTGAAAAACCTTATGCTTTCTCTTATATGAATAAACCAAAAATATAATAAAAAGCAAATTAAAAATAGATAATAGGAATTGGGGAAAAGATATTTCTCAAATGGGAAAGAGATCAAGAGATGCAGGGATGGGGAGAAAGAGGGAGAAAAGGGAAAAGGGATGAAAAAGGAATTAAGGTGTATTCTGAGCACTCCACACAAGGAATGTAGATACTACGCCCTGCACACACATACTGATAAAAATAAGAAAACACACAGTTTGTGTATTTATGAGCTATTGTCCCAAGAGATGAAAAGAGAAGCTATTTATTCTTAGCCCCGTAAAACTGGGGGCTAAATGTTAAATGTTGCACAGAAAATAGGTCTCAAAGGTTCACCTCCTCTGGCAATTTCCCTTTCAGGAAAGCCAGTCCCAATATTGACGTAGTCAGCTATTTTATGTGTGTAAGTCACACCATGACAAACCTCTAGTCACAAATTAGTATGGAGTTGGTAAGGATTTTATATTATAATTTTATCATTATATTTTTGTCTTCCACGGGAATTAGATCTTTAGAAAAGGAAAATGTGGCTTACTCATCTTTTCATCTACGTAACTCAATGCAGAACCTAGCAAGAAAATAGGCACTCAATCAATTTTCTTTAAATTTAAATTAAATTTCAGCAATAATTTCATAGCTCTTTAAAATAAGAGTGCATGCTGGGTTCACTAAAACTTAAAGACTAATCATAATTTGTTTGAAATTAGGCATTTTGTAGGCTAAAAGCAGCAGAACAAGAAAATCCTATGAGTGACTTTTATAGTAAGCTTACTCATCTGCTTTACTATTGA